ATTGCCTACCAGTTTAGCCTCTGATACTGGTATTTCGTGGTTGTACCGCCGGTACGGTACTGTTTCCATGGGGATAAGAGGGAAGTTGGCGGCAGCCAAAGAGGGGGGAGATAGATTTCAACTAGAGAATAGGTTTAGGATTTAATTACGATTATGCCAAAAACTAGTGAGTAAATTCCACTTACAAAATATTTATAATCCTGATACTTACCTTGTAATTATCCATACTTTTATCCTATTCCGAAATAATTATATAACTCCCAAATACCCCAAAAGTACTAAAACAAATCTCATATTAACTAAATATCCAATTCTCAATACGTACATAATAATAAATAGAATGTTAGTAACCCAACTAATCATGTTTCTGTTACTCACACCTAGGGGTGGGCATTGGGTGGGTCGGGTGGATTTTGACCATAAAATGCACCCACCCGCGCTTAAACGGATTGATAATTTTTAACCCACCACCCACCCACATTTAGTCTCGGGTTGGGTCGGGCGGATGGTGGATGATGCGGGTGGGTTTGTGGGTTCACCCACATCACAATGTATATAATATAAAGGAGTCAACTTGACATGATAATAGGTGAAGAGAATCATCGAGGGAAACAAGAAGTTGAAATAGGGCGAAAAATGTCGAATTAGTTCTTAAATTGGATAGAAATTCTATTATGAAAGAGTTTTCTACAGATTGAGACGATTATTAGGTGCAAGGAACTAAGGAAAATAATTCCACAAAGGAAAGAGCGGTGATCTAGGCTCAAGAATTAGAGGAAAAAGTAAAAGGAAGAAGAGAGGATCTCTATTTGGAAGGTTGATTTTGAGGTTCAAACTCTAGGAGCAGTCCGAGTTTATATCTAACGTCTTCATTCTCCTCTCTCTAGCACCAACGACTTTGATCTTTTTGTTGTTGGGTTGAGCCGGTCACCCGCACATTCACCCACAACCCACCCACCACCCGGCGGATGGCTCCCAACGCAACCCGTCACCCATCCACAAACCCACCCACTTAACGAAATTCGGGTCAAATGCAGGTGGATCGGCCCAAACCCGCGGATGATCCGCCCGCATACCCAGCCCTACTCACACCCACACTCAAGAGTTGTAGCAACATCAAAGCACGCTAAGGAATTCAACCATATTACCACGAGACGGTAGACTTCAGAGGACATCCAACATGTATTAATTGGTTATGTTTTTAGTTGGATTTGAGACTGATGCACTTTTATTTAGTATTTAATTTGTTCAACCATTTTTTTTTTTTTTGACAATTTGTTCAACCATTTTAAGTTAAGGCGTTTTTCATATATTTTGGATTATTTTTATACAATGTTTCTGCTTTAATTTCAATTATTTAGTGTTATCATTTAATAAGAGGATTTTGGTAAAACTAGTATCCAAGATAGTCTGGTTTGTACGTGGCCACCGGACCGTGCCGTCCACGGGCTAGCACGACACGGTTAGAGCACGGCACGAGCACGGGCACGAAATAAATGGGCCAGCCCAGTACGAGTACGAATAATTTATGGGTCGTGTCGGGCCTAAATTTTATGGGCACGGCCACGACACGGTATATAAGTGGGTCGTGTCGGGCCTAATATTTTCGAGACTTTATTGAGTATAAGAACGGACATGGCATGAAAATAATATTTATTTGATAGAAAATAAATATAAAAAGAATTATAGGTTCAAATATTACAGAACACAAGTAGAAAAATAATTATTTGTTGTTGTTAGAAGTGTCATAAAGATATATACGTAATTACTAACATAAGTAAAAAATGGACAAAAAATTAAACAAAGTCAAATCACACTCGAAATACTTCCAATTTTCTTTTCCCCCTCATTTGTCACTTTTCTCAAACATTATCGGTTAATACTATATTCCCCCGTCCAATTTTCACCTTCTTTTTCATTCTCTCTTTTGTTTTCATCCTTTTCATTAAACACGAATACGAGCATGGCACGAGCACGAATAGGCTCGGCACGATTCGAACCGTGCCTGGGCCAGGGTCGGGCCTAGCAAAATTGACAAATGAAAACTGACGGGCCGTGCCAAGCACGACACGAAATAAATGGGCCCGAAGCGTGCCCGTGCCGTGCCGACCCAAGCACGGCCCAGCGCCCATGTACAGTCTGGTTATGCATACTTGCTAACTATATATGAGCCTTTGATTTAAATTTTTAAGTGGGGCTGGATTTAAGGGGTGAGAATTTAATGTTTTTTTTATTTTTTAATCGGATTTAAATTTTGAACAGATGAATGGGTTAGTTGTGATCTACAAAATGAGATTCATTTTTAATATATTTCGAGAAATTATTTTCATACCACTTGTACCATTCGTGATCGTCTTGGTACCATCTTCTTTTTTAACTCAAATATTGCCCAAAAGAAACGAGTTTATCCTGATATATTGGATCTACAAATTTATGAGAAAAATAATTTTAGGACCAAATATACCACTATGTACCACCTTGATATATGATGGTAACTGGTTGTAGACGACGATGAAATGTGTTAAATGACCGTTAATATATTCATACTATTATGTACACAACCATTGTACACTATGATATTATTTATACTACCATAGAAACTACCATACCACGTGGTATGGAATGGTAATGAAGTCTCAAAATTTTTTCCAAAGTATTATCAAATGGAATGTCATTTTGAAATACATAATTAATCTAATTTTTTGTGATAAAAAAATAATTGCAATTTAAAATGAAAGAGTTATAGCACGTTCACATTAAATGGGGAATAGCTAGAGACCTTTAATATATGGTAAGTGCAGGATTATGCATGGTTATTGACCATAAATACAATGACCATAACTACAACCCGTTTAAGTGAGGGTGTGGTAGAACCTTCGTGCGAGTCATGTCAGTTGTTTTCACGACCTAACTAACTACCCCATTCCAAGCCAATTATAACTTGAAATGCCGTTGCTAATATAGTGGTGACCAATGTCGTATTCCACGGGTTTTGATACCCTAGGTTACTTCTCAAGCTGTTGTTATCTAGCCAATCTGTTTAGTTGGGTTTTTAGAGGTCAACTGAAAAAACTGGTGGAGAAAGCATGTACTTTGGGGTAACTCCATCGCCCTAAACCTAGGTTTGTGATGCAAATGGCTAGCTATATTGGGTTTGCAGGATGAGGTGTGGAACTCGCTAAGTGAGGGTTTCAATGATTACTCGCCTCCTCCTAGTATGCTCCCAGAGACCCATTGTCATCTCAGTCAAAGCTCACATACTAACGAATATTCACTAGTTCCAATAAGTTCAACCTATCTTGCACTCTAAAGCGATGAATCGATGACACTTGCATCGTCTTTAGCATTGTCTCAGGAAGGCATTCATCCATCAGGGAGTTTCGTCGCCTCGTCCACTTAAAAGAACCCTAAGATCATTCATCTACCTCCAATTAGCCTTAAGGCGCTCAAATCTAGCATAATCCTAACATTTCCACCTAGTTTTGTGACTCAATTGTAGGCTAGTAGGGAAGAGTTGGAGAGACAAGCCACAACCTAATAAAGCATAAATGAAGCATATAATCACTGAAACAAACAAATTCATTCACAAACCCAAACACAATTACATCCATAAAGGAGGGAAGAAGATACATGTATAAAAATAGAAGAAGACTTGAATTGGGGAGAACTCTCTTCCTTCTTAACACCTCCTTTTTCACCTTCTTCTCTTCTTCTCCTTCCTTCAGCTTCTCTCTAGTTTCTCTGTCTCAAACCAAAAATTTCTCAATTGAAATTAGCTATCTAATTCAGGGGGAGGAATCATCTATTTATAGATTTTAGGATCTCGGCCAAGTTCACGAGCGACCTGACAAAGTTCGCGGGCGTGATCTAGGAAAGTGAGGTTGCGATCTCGAGTCATGCCGTTTTACGCTTCGATGGCTAGAAATTTTGCGGTCCGACTTCATGGTCGTGATCCGTGAGTCGCAGCCCGACTGCATGGTCGCGATCTGTGAGTCGCGACCGCCATCTTTCTCATGGGATCTGATGCAAAAAGTCGTGAGCCGACTATCAAAACTTTCTATTTCTTCCTTGTGTGATACTCGAAGAGTTCGCGCCTGAAGCCTCCTTCTTCACGGTCATAATCTTCACTCTGAAGGCTGCGATCTTGGTATCCAACTTCGGGTCCTCTGTTCCTTGTCGTGATCTTCCATGCCCTCGCCGTGATCCTTAGTTTTTGCACATTTCTCTGCACTTGTGCTCTCTTTTGGTACCTAAAACATTCATATCGTCTAATACACCCTAAAACGCTAATGTTTTCTCCGAGTAACGAATAAGGGGTATAATCGATGACATATTAACCATGAACACCATGAAATAACTCGAAACAAAACTAAATATGAGTTTTAAATAATACAATTTTGGGTGTTTTCAGGATGTTACACATTTTTTTATAAGGGTGATAATATTCATTTTTATTGTTAGGTTTACACATTTATGTGTTAGATAATATTTATGAGCAACTTCTGTTGTGAAAACTTATGTTGTGAATATACCATATACCTTCCTAAAAAATCTTATAATTTTCTTTAAAACTTCATAGACCGATTATCAAAGCTTTTATTTCAAAAGAAACAATTCAAAAATTCCTTGCATTGCACATTTTTGGGTAATTGTTTCCATTCAATAACCTCAAACCTTGAAATCTTCTTCAAATATCCAATATTCAAACAAATTTTAAAACGAGAAATGGACTTGTCGAAAGCTCGATGATAGTCTTTGCTCGTTCGTCGTATCACACTATTCTATCCACCCGAGTAAAGAATAACTTTGTAGGGAAATTTATGAATTTGGTTACTATATTTTAAAATATTTATTTTTGAAAAAATATATTAATTATTATTTTGTTCTCGACTAAAAGGTGTCAAGTTTTAATAAAAAGATGTGAGAGAAGGAGAGAAGAGGAAAAGGAAAGAAATGGGCAACTGTTTAAATTCATACTCATGCTTGTCCGGAAAGGAAACGCAGAGGCAGAGGCAGAGGCAGAGAAAGTGAAAAGAGAAGAGTCCTCCATAGACCAGTCACTGGGCTGGCAGCAAAGAGGTAGAGAGCTACATCAAGATTATCCGCCATTGTTCCCTCCCTTCTCCCCAAAACGACAACCATTCTCTGCCAACACCGAACCCTTTCTCCCCTCTCTCTCCATTCGGCCATCTCTTAAAATAATTTCTCCCCACAATTTCTTCCTCCTCTTGGGAAAGCTCGACCATGGCGGAGTTAGGCGGAGGAGGAGGTGGGCGACAGCAAGTCTGGGTTTCTCCCAATTCGTCGGTGGTGGTGGAGGCTTGGAGAGGGATAGTCAATTGGCTTGGTTTCCTCTTGCAACTATGCATTCAAATCCTCAGAGGAACCCCATCAGTGGCCCAAATGTTGCTCTCTTATGTTGGGTTCAGTCAATCGCTACTCCCAGCTGCTTCTCCTTCTCGCGACGCTTCTTCTACTCCTCTTCCTCATCGCTCTTTCAAGCGATTGCCCGTCGTCGAAGTTCCCTTGCAGGAGACCGATATGTCTCCGCCGGCTGCCGGCCGAATTTCCGCCCGGGCCGACCTCGGCGAAGGCGACGGTGCTACCATTGGCGATCGCCAATTAGAGAAGCTTACAGTAGGTGTTTTCCTTCTTTCTTTGTTTGACTTCGGTAAATCATAAATGGGTTTCTGAATCAGAGCTTCTGTGCCGCGTTTTTTGTTTGGGCAGGTGGTTCTTGACTTGGACGAAACGCTGGTTTCTGCATACGAAAAGTCTAACCTGCCACCAAATCTTCGAACTCGAGCTATAGAAGCTGGACTGAAGTGGTTTGAAATCGAATGTATCTCGGATAAGGTTAGCTAACAAGCCCTTTGTTTCTTTACCCAGCTTTCCTGCAGGATTGAAATATGAAATCAGGATGCGGGTTTGTTTTGGTTGGGAAGGAAATTGAAGGTAGGAAGAAGATCAACTACGTTACAGTGTTTGAGCGCCCCGGTTTGCAAGAGTTCTTGACACGAGTTGGCGAATTCGCCCATCTGGTTTTGTTCACGGCTGGTCTAGAAGGCTATGCAAGGCCTCTTGTTGACAAGATAGACATTGAGAATCGTTTCTGCCTAAGACTTTACAGACCTTCAACTGTCAGCACGTAAGGTTCCTTCATTTCTGACTGACTGACTGGCTTATTACATTGTCTGTTGTTCGTCTAAAATGCTGATAGAATGTCCGGCCTTACAACTGCAGGGAGCACAAAGAACACGTAAAGGATCTGTTATGCGTATCGAAGAACCTGCGTCGAATTGTGATTGTGGACAACAATCCGTTTAGTTTCCTGCTCCAGCCATTGAATGGGATCCCGTGCGTTCCTTTCTCTGCAGGACAGCCTTACGATCATCAGGTGAGTGGCCTTTTGCGTTGCACAGAACTGAGTGCTACAGAATACAAGAGAGGCTGAGTGAGTGTTCCTTTTTGATGTGGTGTAGCTTCTGGAAGTGGTGCTCCCCATGCTGAGGCAACTGTCGTATCAGAAGGACGTTAGACCATCGCTTTACCAGATGTTCCACATGCCAGAGTGGTTCCAAATGCATGGGATTCCTACTGCGTTGACGTGAGATCGCCAGACAAGCTACTTTTTGTTCGGGAGTCCATGATTCTTTACCAGCGGGATTAGGGTTGGCATTTATTTATGAGTTGTGGTACCCTTCCACGATGTTTTTCTAATGGTGAATCTGTGAATGAATGTTGGCTAGACTGCGAAACTGGCCTTGAGGGGTTAAAGATGTTATAGCAAGGTTGTAAGAGGGGCCAGTAGGGGGTTACAAGGGTTTGGGGCGACTTCCGTTCCTTTTCATGGTTCCGTTCAGTGCAGCGGCCACTTTCTGGGGAGCAATTCTTGGCCACTGTCGAATTCCCACAGCACTTTGTAGAAGCAAACCAACAGATATCAATTTTTATCAAGCTTATTGCATCTTCAAAATTAGTTCGAAACTGAGCCCGTACATGAGCCAATCACGACGAAATCCATCAATCGAAAGGAAGAAAATTTTGAATACATCACTGCCACAGTGCCACTCTCTAGCTTGGGGGCCAAAATTAGCCTATCAACATTCTTCTCACAGGAAAACCCACCTTAGTTTATGGTACATGTCCAGAGTGCTTCAGACTTCCAAAAGGGTTCCTGCTCGTATTGGTTTAATACTGGAGGAAGTTGTTTAGTCTTCCCAGTTGGATTCATTTGAAGTACAAGATGGACCTACACCACAAGGAAAATACCGGAATACAGGATATCAGAAACAGCATGTGAACAGAATAACTGATATAGCTTACAACCGATATTAGCTTACTGGCTTACTTACAGTGAACAGTTAGGATTATCATGTATTAAACACCAAAGTTTGGCAATCCCCAAAAATTTCACAACTAGATAACCATGTATTAAACACCAATTAATTGTATTCCGCAATACCAATAATTCCATCAAGAAGGGGTCCGTAGTACCTGCATAGTGCTTACCGAAGGCAAATATTGTGTCCCATTTTCAGAAAATCCAGCAACAATAATACCCGCCATCGCTGCCCGTCCGGCGTCCGCCACGCCCCATCCCCGATTGATGCTGGTCACCTCTATGAAGTATTATTGGTGTTGGAGCGGCCCCCATTCATCTGACTGAGCATGGTATTGGCGCATCAAAGCCCTCCCTCGATACTGGATTAATTTGTGAACCGCCCAACAGTGGGATTTCCAAAGCTGCCACACAAGAAAACAACATTACCAATAGCATCTTCGATAAATGACAAGCAAAAAACAGATCCTTCCAGCACTCGACATGGTCAACGGTTGATAACCAAACCCGTAGTAATCCAATATCAATAAACTTCCCTAACTCACGCGCTATTCTATAGTGAATGTGAAAGATTTAACCTAGCTACAAGAATGCTAGAGTTTGTGAAGGAAAATGAGAGTAGCCTTGTGGGAAATCGGCAGAATGCCTCTTCCTCTGTTGCATTTCACATATATATGAGTGAACACTATACATTAACGATAAAGAGAAACGATTACTTAAACTAGCTAATGAGAAGATGCCAAGTGGCTAAGCTACGTTTAAACTCTCTATTATTTACAATCTACCAATATTGCGTCGTTGTGGCTTTGTGGAGTGTTTACCGCTTTAAGGTAAACGACGCAGTTTTGAGGTCACCCAGCTGTGTACTACGCAGAGTGAAAGGAAGCCCTGCTTAGTTCATCCGTTCTTCATTCTGCAGCACCCCTGAAGACCTACAACAGCTGGTGATCAGGTAAACCTCATTCACACCCTCCCTCAAGCTTGCACGCTTATGTCATGTCATGCACTACTAGCTTGGACAGAAGATACTGAAATCTGTCAACAGAGAGGCCCTTAGTGAACAAGTCTGCTAGTTGTTCGAATGTGATGTAGAGAAAGAAGTCTTTAAATCAGTCTCTCACGAATGACATGACAATCAACTTTTATATGTTTTGTTCGTTCATGAAAAACTGGGTTTTCTGCTATATGTATAACAGATTGGTTGTCACAAAACACCTTGACTGGTTGCTGATGGTCATTCCCATAGAACTTCAATAGTGACTTCAGCCATTGAACTTCACATGAGAGTTAAGCTAAAGCTCTGTATTCTGCCTTTGAAGAGGACCTTGAAATAGTTTTCTGCTTTTTGCTTTTTCATGTAACTAATGAATTTCCCAGAAAAGTGCAGTATCCAGTAACTGACTTCCTTGTACCAAGGCAAGTAGCCCAATCAGAATCACAATAACCTCTCAATTCTAGTGTAGATGAAGATGGGAACCATAAACCCTGACTTTGACATCCCTTCAAATACCCTAAAATCATGTGTAAAGCCTTCATGTGAGTAGTTGTGGGTTTGTCCTGAAACTGACAGAGTTGTTGAACGGGAAATGTGATGTCTGGTCTTGTTGAGGCCAGGTATTAGAGTTGTCCTAGCAGATGCTTGTAGTGAGAACCATCCTCTAATGGAACTCCATCTGCTGCTGAATGAACAGTCTTCATACTTAAGGGTGTTTTTGCATGTTTACTTTCCAGAAAATCGGAATTTGCCAATAGTTCTAAACAGAACTTTCTCTAATTCAAAGAAATCCCTTCACTTGATCTGGAAACTTCCATTCCCAGGAAATATCTCATGTTGCCTAGATCCTTCACTTTAAATCCCTTCTTCAATTCCTGCTTCACATGCTCAATCTCACCCAAAACTGGACCTGCCAACAGTATGTCATCTACATACACAATCAGGGTAACTGAAAGCATTTTGAAAACTGAGTAATCATCAAGGGATTGCTCAAATCCCATGTGTTTCAAATACTTAGACAGCTTGATGAACCACTATATGTTGGCTTGTTTAAGTCCATAAAATGACTTATTGAGCTTCAGAACTTATCCTTCCAAGTGACTTAGACCCTTCAAACCATTTGGTACCTCCATATAAACCTCCTCCTCTAAGTCACCATGGAGGAAGACATTGCTTACATCCATCTGACGTAAGTGCCATCCTTTGATGGCAGCAACAGCCAAAAGCAGTTTGACTTAATTCGGTTTAGCAACATGAGAAAAAGTGTGAATAAAATCAACACCATAAGTTTACGTATACCCTTTTGCTACTAATCGAGCCTTACTTCTCTCTATTACTCCATCAGGCAAAAACTTGGTTTTAAACACCCATTTGTTCCCTACAATCTTCTGACCAACAGGTGGATCAATAGGAGTCCAGGTGTTATTTTCATCTAAGGCACCCAACTCCTCTATAATAGCTTTATTCCAACGATCTTCCTTAATGGCCTGAGAGTAGGTTTGAGGATCAGGTTGAAGTGAGATAGAAAGGGTGAAATGTTTGTGGTTAGAAGATAAGGTGTTGTAATTGAGAGAATGAGAAAGAGGGTAGGTTATTCTGGCATCATGAGAGCCAGGAGTGCCATTAGTGAGAAGGATGTATGAAAGTCTTGTAGATAAGTAGGCTGTCTAGAAAGCCTAGGAGCTCTCCGAAGGGCAATAGGTAAAGAGTCATGACTTGTAGAAGTGGAAGGAGAAGAGGAAGAAGTGGATGGAATAGAAGAAGAAGAAGGTGTAAATGGTGAAACAAGAGTCTGAGCCACAGGTGTGGATGAAGGAGATGAAGGAGGAGTGGAATCTGTGTCTGCAAAAGGATATGATGGATCTGTAGTTTCATAGTAATTATGATCAAGAGAAAGAATTGGGGAAACGGGCAGAGAAGTGGAAGAAGAAGGAGAAGAAGAATCCCTACTCTCAGGAATCATAAATGGAAAAGAATCTTCAACAAAATACACATCTCTACTGAAAAAGGTAGTGTGAGTCTCCATATCATATAACTTAAAACCTTTGACTCCAAAAGGATATCCTACAAACACAGCCTTTTTGGCTCTTTTTGCAAACTTCTTCTTATGTTCATCGAGAACAGTAGCATAGGCAAGACAACCAAAGGTTCTTAAAGAACTATAGTCAGATAGTATCCCATATAAGCATTCAAATGATGTTTTATTTCCTAAGATAGGTGTAGGAGTTCTGTTGATTAGATATGCAGAATGCAAGACCAGGTAGCTCCAGAAACTGGTAGGGACTCCAGATTGGAACTTGAGTGCCCTAGAAACATTCAAAATGTGTTGGTGCTTGCGTTCTACCCTGCCATTTTGTTGTGCAGTATTAACACAACTCATCTAATGCAAAATGCCATGTTCATGATAGAAATCTAGCATGTTAAACTCCTGCCTCCTCATCAGACCTTATCACCTTCACAGTTTTGTCAAACTGAGTTTTTACCATGCTACAAAAGGATTGAACTAAACCTCGTGCTTCAGATTTAAAGCTTATTAAAAACAACCAAACACATCTACTATGATCATCAACCACCGTGAGAAAATATTTGAAACCATCATAGGAAACTACATCAACGGGCCCCCAAATGTCAACATGAACCAGGTCAAATGTTTCCTTTGCAATAGTAATACTCCTATTAAAAGGTAATCTTTTCTGTTTAGCTAAGTGGCATATCTCACAATCACTCATCTGTAGCTATAACATCACTACATTTTTTGGTAATTTCCTGCAGTCTTGGAAAGGAAAGGTGTCACAACCTGGCATGCCACAACTTTGAGCTCACACTGATGGTCACTCCAAGAAAATATGGTTTGAGATTCTCCCCAGGTGCAACTGACTCCCCAAGAAAGTAAAAAGTCCTCTACTTACGTGGATTAAACCAATTCTCTGTCAAGAGATTAGGTCCTGGATAAAACAAAAGTCGGATTCAAAATGTAGTGAGACTGGGCTATTACTAGTTAACTGACTGATAGAAATCAGATTATAGCTAAAGGATGGGACTAGAAGAACAATGGTAAGAAATAAGTCACAAGGTAATTTGACTATGCCAGTATGAGTAACCTTTGCTTGTTGGCCATTAGGAAGGGTAACTGACATATCCTTAACTTCTCTACATCTAAGGAAAAAAATGCATAGAACACACAATGTGGTCACTAGCACCAGTATCAAGCACCCATACATCTTTACTCTTTGAAGCTGTATAGGTGGAAAGAATAGTAATACCTGACATGGTGTGCCCCTTAGATGTAATAGAGTTAACCATCGAAGAAGATGATTGTTGCTGAGGACTTTGGAGTAAAGCCTTCAGGCGATAGAGTTCTTCTATGGTGAAACCAGAGAAGTGTTGAGAACTATCTGGATTACTCCTTGGACTGTTGGGTGAAAATTTTCCTCCTCCTGAAGATGTCTTCTCAGCTGGGTTGACATCCACAGAGCCTGCAAAACACCTATGGTTTCCTCCTCCTTCTTTGTTCTTTTTCTTAAGCTTCCAACAGTCTTGGATAACATGGTTATCCTTCTTGCAGTATCTGCAAAATAATCCTCCTCCTCCAGTTTGTTCTTCCTTAAATCCCTTATCCTTAGAAGGTGGGTTATGAGGAACCCTAGAAGCAGCTAGAGCAGTTGCAAGAGCAATTGTCTCCTCAGATTTGCCAGTGTTAGCAC